CAAACAATCGTGAGTGTTAAAAAAAAAAAAAAAAATTGAAGTTCATATTAAAATATTTGCATATGCTTTAAAAATTCGGATGTCATGTAATCAAAAGGATCCGTCTACTAGAGAAGAAATGTCCTTGGAACAAGTTATCCTTGAGCCAATGGCAGAAATCTTTATTGCCTAAACTTGTTATTCCATTGGAATGTAGACACATTTTTTTTTTTTTTTTGATTACATCACGCATCTGTAACGTTGATCTAGGTATTTTTTGTCTTCTCAGTTCTTTTATACTGATTAATTGCATTACGTTATAGGATTATGTATACTTATTATTATATAATTTCCTGAACTCCTTTTTATAAATTTATATTTTTTTAAGCAAACTAATTGGTAATTATTGGCTTCCTATTGCCATTAAGATATTGAACTATAATTATAAATTTTCATAGAAATAGTCCATAAAAATGAATACTCAACCAGTTAGACTCTTAGATTTAAATTTTCTGATTTTCTGAATTTTTTTTTTGGTATATAATAAGAGCTTATGTCAATTTTATTTAATAAATCTTGAATTAATAAGATGAATTTCTAAATATTCATATATATTTCTTACTGTGGTGAAGTAGTTTAGAGAGGAAACGTATTTGCTTTTGGGGTCTCAATAAAATTTAGCCTTGAGACCATGGTTGGGAATGGGTTTAGAGGCTCAAACTCCAACGAACATCAGGAGTTTGCTAAAAGAATTGGATATTAATATCTAGGATTGATTTTCCGACGTCAATTATATAATATCTGGACCAACAGGGGTACAATAGTTGGCCAGAAACTAGTCTAATCACCATTATTACTTTGTTTATCGGGAGTCTACAATACTAAATATTTTTTGTTTATGTTGGTAGGATATTTATTTGACTGCAATAACAGACACGAACCCCCCCACACGGCTGAAAGCTAGCAAATCAATGGCTCCCATTCGTCTGATTGCTCTCGAATGTCATATAACCCTAGTTCCATCGTATATCCTTCATGTTCATCCTAAAAGTCAAGAATATATTCAAGGACTACTGTCCTTGTACAAGCAATTTGGTAAACCAATAGTTAGTTGAACATTACAAGTTCGGCCGGGCCGAATTTACTTCTTTTTCACTTGTTTTTAAATATTAGTGGATGGAAGCAAAAAATATCGGAAATAACGTCTAATTTTACGATAAGTTTAGATTTGTTCAAATTCATCACCTTTGGCCAATGAAACCGTCACACGCTGCCCGAATGTTGCTCTACAGACCATTCCCAGCGAAGCGCTTGCTTGAGGTGATCGACACGTTGGTATTTTTTAGTGCCAACCTTGCTATCCAAAATACACCAGACACAATAGTCCGGAGTGTTCGGAGATTTTAGTGACCATTGTGCACTGGAAATGAAGCGAGGAACCTCATTTTGTAACCATTCTTGGATGGTGCGTGCTGAGTGCGATGGTGCTGAGTCCTGTTGGAATGTCCACGGTCAGCGGCCAAAATGGTTGCGTGCCCAAGGCTTTAATACACCCTCCTGATTTTTTTTCGATTGGGGTGTAAGTTCTTACACTTTTTGGAATTTCAATGCCTCTACCCCGAGCTCATTTTTCAGTACTTTCCGAAGGGAATATTGTGATATGTTCAGCTCACAAGCCATTTTTTTTTGGCCATTGCGACGCGGGTTTCGATCAAGTCGCTTTTTTTACTTTTCGAACCATTTCTGCTGATGTTGCTGTTTTCTTCCGTCCACTTCCTTGACGTCGGGCTACGCTACTAGTATCACGGTAACGAGCGATGGTACGAGACACAAAAGATTTTTTTCACATTTAAATGCTGGAGTGCTCTAACGATAATCACTTGTGGTTTTCCAGCCAAATATAAAGACATCACACTATCACCCATGAATTTTCCATCTGGAAAATTCTCACCAAAATGTTGGTGTACGCTTGTAAACAATATAATGAGCTGTCAGTGGATTAATTTTTACAGCTGTCGGACGAGTGGCTTGGAAGTGACAGCAGTCTGAAGTTGGTTGCAGTTTTTTTCATCTCACTCTGTATATGGCTATATCTGAAACGATTTTTACCAAATTTAAAGCACCTGAATAAATTTAGTCGGAATTGCCTAAATTCAGTCCATTTGGACTGATATTAAGTATATGGCGCAGAATAAACTCCAAATCCATATCTCTCAACCGATCTAGATAATATTTGACAGATGTATGTTTAAGCTCCATATGTTACCTGGTACCATATATTATTCTTATGGAGTGTTTAAACTCACGTGGGCAACTTAAATCACCAAATCGGATGAGCTATTGCTATATTTGAACCGATGTTTTCCAAATTCGAAGCACTTGATTCTAATTAATTCGATCAGATGTGCATTAGCACATCCTATTTGGACGAATATTACATGTTTGGCGCACAATGAAATTGAAATCGGACGAAGATATATATGGGAGCTATATCCGATCTCAATAAAATTAAATCTGGTACAAAATACCATTGTCGTAGAGTGAATATTACAAAAGTGAGAGTTTTAAGCATCAAATCGGATGAAACATATATATGGGAGCTATTGCTATATCTGAACCGAGTGTAATCAAATTTGATGTACTCACCAATTTCAATAGGTCTCGTCCTTGGACCAAAAAACTATTTTTGGGAAAATTTCATTTCAATCCGATGATTAATGCGAACTGCATTTTAAGTTGATTTAGCCATATCCGTCTGTCCGCCCGTCTGCTGTAATCATGTGATAAGAAGCTTAAATTTTGCCTAGAGTTGTCTTTTGTACGCAGTCAGTTCAAGTTTGAAGATGAGCCATATCAGTCATAATTTTCGTATGGCTCTCACATAATTGTACCTTCCGATATTCGGTATTTAGAGTGTGTCTCTATGGGTCCACGTTTTCCTGAAGTCTTATATTATGGTACCCCCGATATTCGATATTTTGACGATTTTAGCCATACTTTCTAACGGAATAATTTAACATTCGAAATGTAGAGTTCATAACATAACCTGTGAACATTGCCTATGTAAGTCCTAGTTTTCCTATGGCCCCCATTTAAAGGTACTTTGCAATATTTAGTATTTTGAGGATTTTTGCCACAGTCTATCTAACAGAATTACTAAAACTTCAGCATTTGGATTCCATAATGGGCAGTATATAGAGCAATTTCTATATATAAGTCAACGTTTTTCTATAGTCCCTATCCACCCGATATTCGTTATTTTGATGATTGTAGGCAACTTTTTTAACTGAATTATTTGAAATTTGGATTGGATATTCCAAATGACAGAAGTGACGTATACCCCCGAACAGGGGAATTTCGGCATTTACAGACATATTTTTACATGAGTTATTTTACAAATTATGAAGGATAGAAATAACTCCGCCCTGCCGAACTTAACTGCTTTTTTATACCCTACACCACAAGGTGGTCAGGGTATTATGTCTTTGTGCATTTGTTTGTAACAGGCAAAACGAAACGAAACGAGATAGACCCATAGTTCCTTTTGATGATCTGCATAGAATCACTTTTTGAGTTGATTTATGCATGTCAGTTGTCCGTCTGTCCGCCCGTCCGTGCGTCCGTCTGTCCATGTATTCTTGTGAACAAAATGCAGGTCGCATTTATTATCCGATTGAGATGAAATTTTCCAAACAACATTTGTTTGGACCAAGGACGAACCCTATTGAAATTGGGGATAATCGGTAAAAAATTAGACATAGCTCCCATATATATCTTCGTCCGATTTGCTTATATTGTGCACCAAACGTGTAATATCAGCCCGAATAGTATGGAATTTTGCACATATAACCAAATTAGGCCTAAAAATAAGTATGTCAAATTTGATCGAAATCGTTGTTACTTTTCATCATCATCCGATTTGTTATTTTTGTCCTTCGCAGCCGTAATATGCACTCTGTAACAACAATATTTGGGGAAATGCAGCTGAGAAATACCTTCGCTAAATTTTATCGAGATCGTTTCAGATTTGGATATAGCTCCCATATATAACTTCGCCCGATTTACCTTTTATTGTGCACCAAACGTCTAATATTTGCCCAAATGGGATGAAATTTTACACATACGACCAAATTGAGTCTAGAAGGTAGTATGTCAAATTTGGTGAAGATCGGTTCAGATATAGCTATAGCTCCCATATATATTGTTCATCCGATTTGTTGTGTTTGTTACCCACAGCCGTAATATGCACTCTGTAACAACAATATTTGGGGAAATATATCAAATAGAGCTCAGAAATGCCTTTGCAAAATTTTATCGAGATTGGTTCAGATTTGGATATCGCTCCCATATATAACTTCGTCCGATTTACTTTTGATTGTGCACCAAATGTCTAATATTTTCCCAAATGGGATGAAATTTGGCACTTACGACCGAATTGAGTCTAGAAGCTGGCATGTCAAATTTGGTGAAGATCGGTTCAGATATAGCTATAGCTCCCATATATACTGTTCATCCGATTTGTTATATTTGTTATTTGTAATATGCACTCCGTAACAACGATATTCAGGGAAATAAATCAAATAAAACTCAGAAATATCTTTGCCAAATTTTATCGAGATCGGTTCCGATTTTGATATAGCTCCCATATATATTTTTTTTTTTATCCGATTTTAAATTAATTATGCACCAAATGGGCAATACAAGTCCGAATTTAAAAGATACAAATGCTTCGGCATAATTAGTTCTTTGATTTTTAAATTATAATTATAATCATAGGGTGTATGATTGAATTCTCCCATAAAAACTTTTAATTGTTATGTGGAGCTCAACTAAATTAGCAAAGTGGTGTAGGGTATCATAAAATCGGCCTGTCCGACTTTAGGACTTTCTTTACTGGTTTTGCTTGTCATCTGTGTTTTTTTCGGTTTTTCTCAAAATTATTAACAATCCGGAACTATCGTTTCTGAAATAATGAATGTGACACAACAGTAGTATTCATACAAACCCAAGATTTATTTTCAATTTGTGTTTATTTATTATTTATCTAACATCTAAATATAATACAATTATATACAAAATAATAATTTGAGATCCATATACACGGAAATTATACCAGAAGTCCATGACTTCCGAATATCTCAGCACCTCATCCATTTAAACGTCTCAAAACGTGTGTGAATTCTTTGGCATCTGCAGATTTGGCTTCTATCTTTTTGCCACTTGTCCTCCCTCTCTGTCTCGCCTGCACAGGGAAGAGAATTGTTCTGTAATTAGAAAAAAAAAGTGAATTATTCTTATTAAAAGTACCTGGTTCCAGTTCATCAAATTCTCAATCAAACGCTCACCTATTTTGCTATGGCATTGGCCCGACTGACTGACGTTCACGTAAAAACACATTTTATGGCAGGTTGCTTCGTAAATGGTTGGCGGTTGCTCGAATGCATTTCACACTTCGATGGCGTCATCTTCATCATCCGCTTCATTATCGCTTAGAGTGGTCGCCGTAGCTGCCGTTGTTGTTGGTGCATTTGATGCTGTTGCTGTTGTTTTATTATTGACGGTAATGGATGAGCAACTACTATTACTACCGGTTGTTTTATGAGATTCATGCCTTTCCGGTGGACTGCCCGGATTCAATGGTGGACTGCAGGAACGTTCAATAATTTCTACACTTTTGCGATTACTCGCCTCCGTCTCGTTGTCATCGCCACTTCGGCTGGGACTTTTATTGAGGCGTAGATGCGAACTGTTTGTCGGCGAAGAACTGTTTGTAGAACCAAATGCTTGTGTAGCTGTGTGATAATAGCTACTAAGCGATTGCAAAGAATTGGAAGCACTAAGTTGAGACATGGGTGTCGGTGTTAGAGGCATACTAGCCAAACCATTGCTGGACAGTGGATTTATGTGACTCATAGAGGGGTACATACGATACGATAAGGGTTTTTGTAGTACTGCAGCTGCTGCCGCCTGACGATAATATAAATCTATGGGGGAATTTGTACCCAGGTGATGACTTGGCGGGGTATGAGCATATGGCCATGCACTGAGATACGGTGATCCACCGTAGAGTCGTTGAAAGGCAGCATAGTTTCCGGCCTCGGCCAAAAGTTCCAACCCCACTGCGGTCTGTCGTTTCCATTTGGTTCTGAAAGAATAAAGGAAAGAAATTTTAAGATTTTTTTTTGCTCTGACAGAGTTAAGCTCCAAAATTTTAGTGTTAGAAGTTAGTAATGAGTTCTACGTCCTACGACAGAAAATTGCCCACATCTTCGTATATCTCCAAATGACTGTACCGGATATTCGGTATTTTAATAATTCTAGAGGTATTTTTTAAGGAATAATTTAAAAAATAGCCGGTACCTTCTAAATGGTGCAGGATATTCAAAGTCTGGCCCTTCCGAACTACTTGTTGGAGTGTCGGCTTTTTCTGAATTTTGACCCTTTGCAGCAGAGCTACTAAACGGAAATGGATATCCCATCTTCACAACAGACATAAAATGAGCAGAAATATTGAGTTTTATGAAAATCTGATATTTTGAAGATAGGGTACGAACAGGAAGATTGCTATAACAATAAATTTTCGAATAATACTATGCCCAAGATTTGAAATAAATCGGATACTGACTTTGATTTCAAAAAAGGATAAAAATATTTTTGTCTCTAAATTAGTACCACTGCGACCTTTTCGGACAAATATATTACGCATTTGCAATATGAATTTTCGGGATTCCAGTTCTATCCCTTTACACAATACCCAAATTAGTACCACTTAGTACAATTATATTACATATTTTCAAAACCACCTCCTTACAGACACCGACAGCTACAGCTATATCTTAGCTCTAATACTTCACCTAGTACCAAATTCAGTACTTTTCGTACAATTATAGCACAAATTCCCCAAAACCACCTCCATATCTTAACCACAGATACCAACATTGACATCCATACCAGATTTCGGAATTCCAACTCTATTCCCTCGCCCAATACCAAATTTGGTAACATTTAGAACTTTTCGATCCAATCTAGTACACATTTCCAAAACAATCTCCATGTCTCAGATAACAACAGTGACCTCAATATCAAATTTAAGCTCTTTAGTTCCCCCAATACCAAATTACTACCATTTAGTACAATTACAGTACACATATCGAAAACCAGCTCCTCTCAACCACAGACATCAACAGTGACATTAAATATCATATCAAATTTCAGGATTTCAGCTCAATTTCTTCATGCAATACTAACTTCAGTACATTTTAGCACTTCTCGTACAATTATGGTACACACTTCCACAACCACCTATATATACCAGTAGAAACCTCAATATCAAATTTGAGGATTCCAGCCCTATCCCTTAACCCAATATCAAATTTAGTACCATTTAGAACTTTTCGTACAAAAATAGGACGTATTTCCAAAACACCGCCAAATCTCAAACACAAACACCTTCAGCAATCTCAATTTCAAATTTCAGAATTTTATTTCTACTCCTTCACCCAATAGCTAATACGGTACCATTCAGCACTTTTCGTACAATTATAGTACACATTTCCGAAACCACCTTCACACACATGTATGGCGACACTAATATAAAATTTCAGATTTGAAGTACAACATTTTTAACCACTACAAAATTGTACCAAATATGGTACTATTTATGTGTTCTACAAGACATTTTGCAAAACCATTTTTTGGTCACAAATCCACCATCAACAGGGGGAAATCGGATTAAGGATATATATGTGAGGGACTTCAACACCAAATCGGATGAAACATAGATATGGGAGCTTTAGCTATATCTGAACCGATTTTCCAAATTTATTGTACTTGTTTCTAGACAGAATTTGGTCCGATATGCCGAAATTCAGTCCATTTGGTGCACAATTAACCCGAAATCGGTTGAAGATATATATGGGACCCATATCCAAATCTGAACCGATTTTGATAAAATTTGGCAGAAGTATATCTGGGCTGTATCTGATAACTGGTACCACATATCAGAGCTGTCGAATGCATATTCCGAATGTGAGGGACTTAAGCACCAAATCGGATGAAACATATATATGGGAGCTATAGCTATATCTGAATCGATTTACACCAAAGTTGCAGCACTTATTTCTAGACTGAATTCGGTCGGATATGCCAAAATTTAGGTCATTTGGACGGATATTGGCTATTTGGTGCACAATTAACTCGAAATCGGTTGAGGATATATATGGGAGCTATATCCAAATCTGAACCGATATTGATAAAAAAAGAGGTACTTCTGTGCTGTATCTGATAAATGGAACCAAATTTCATTGTTGTAAAATGCATATTAACCTTGTGAGGTACTTTAAACCCCAAATCGGATAAAACTAATATATGGGACCGGATAAAATTTATATATGAGACTTATATATCTGAACCGATTTACATCAACTTTGAAGTACTGACTTATAGGATTGCCAAATTTCAGCCCATTTGAGCTGATATTAGCCATTTGGTGCACAATAAACCTGATATCGGATAAAGATATGTATGGGAACTACATCCTAACCGGAACCGATTTCGATAAAATTTGACAGAGGTATTTTCGAACAGTATCTGATATTCGGTACCAAATATCCTTCTTCAGGAGTGAATATTAGGCATGTGAGGACATACAACTCCAAATCGGATGAAACATATATATGGGAGCTATATCTGAATTGATTTTCCCCAAATTTGATGTACTTGCTTCTAGACTGAATTCGATCAGATGTGCCAAATTCAGGTCATTTGGACTTATATTGACCATTTGGTGCACAATTAACCCGAAATCGGTTGAAGATATATGGGAGCTATATCTAAATCTGATGCGATTCTCACCAATGTCAATAGGGCTCGTCCTTGGACCAAACAAATATTGTTTGCAAAATTTCATTTCAATCGGATAATAAATGCGACCTGTATTTTGTTCACAATTATACATGGACGGACAGACGGACTGGCATACATAAATCGACTCAGAAAGTGATTCTCTGAAGATCCTCAAAAGTAACAATGGGTCTATCTCGCTTTCTTCTCCATGTTACAAACAAATGCACAAAGGCATAATGCCCTTACCACTATGTGGTGTAGGGTATAAAAACGATTGGAAATCACGAATACTTCTGTATTTTTATACCCTACACCACAAGGTGGTCAGGGTATTATGTCTTTGTGCATTTGTTTATAACATGGAGAAGAAAGCGAGATAGACCCATTGTTACAATTGCAAAAGGAATTGAGATAGACCCATAGTTCCTTTTAATGATCTGATTAATGATAGAATCACATTCTGAGTCGATTTATGCATGTTCGTCCGTCTGTCGTGTATTTCTGTGAACAAAGCACAGTTCGCATTTATTACCCGATCCAGATGAAATTTTGCACAAATCATTTGTTTGGACCAAGGACGAACCCTATTGAAATTGGAGGTAATCGGTAAAAATTTAGATATAGCTCCCATATATTTCTTCGTCCGATTTGCCTTTTATGATGCACCAAACGTGTAATATCAGCCCGAATAGTATGGAATTTTGCACATACAACCAAATTAGGACTTAAAATAACTATGCCAAATTTGATCGAAATCGATTCAGATATAGCTATAGCTCCCATATATATTGTTCATCCAATTTGTTATTTTTGTCCTCCGCAGCCGTAATATGCACTCCGTGACAACAATATTTGGGGAAATATATCAAATAGAGCTCAGAAATACCTTTGCTAAATTTTATCGAGATCGGTTCGGATTTTGATATATCTCCCATACATAACTTCGTCCGATTTACCTTTGATTGTGCACCAAACGTGTAATATTTGTCCAAATAGGATGGAATTTACCACTTATGACCGAATTGAGTCTAGAAGCTAGTATGTCAAATTTGGTGAAGATCGGTTCAGATATAGCTATAGTTCCCATATATACTGTACTGTGCTCCGTTACAACGATATTCAGGGAAATATATGAAATACAGCTCAGAAATATCTTTGCCAAATTTTATCGGTTCAGATTTGGATATAGCTCCCATATATATCAAATGGGCAATACAAGTCCGAATTTTAATTACAATCATAGCGTGTATGATTGAATTCTCCGATAAAAACTTTTAATTGTTATGTGGAGCTCTACTAAATTAGCGAAGTGGTGTAGAGTATCATAAAGTCGGCCCCGCCCGACTTTAAGACTTTCTTTACTGGTTATTATTTTTCATTCCAAGTTTGCTGAAATACCCGGAATTAAGTGGAAAATATCAAAAATTGTAATTTTTCTAAAAATGATGATGCTATCGAAATGATGATGCTTGGCTTGCCATTCATTCTGCATATTCCTTCATACTATATTTGTTTCTATATTTATTGAAAATCCATTTGATATTGATACAAAGTGCTTTTTTTCGACCCATCAATTTAATATTTCCCTCCTTTTTAAACATAATGGCCTACTTAACCAAGAATATAGGCACTTAAGTGTTATAAACGGTAGAACTTACACATATTTTGAGAAAACTTATAAATAAACCGCAAAGCAGTTGTATATTATTATTTTGAAATATTTGCATGTCATTGGGAAAATACCACTAAATGTTTCATAAATATTGAAAAAAAATAATATAATCCACAAAATAAACTTATCGACAAAAAAACGCCAACTCACACACACTTCCGAATTCGATTCAGTAGCATTTTTGTGGTAAAAAAATACAAATAAAAAATGAAAACGTTTCGTTTCGTTTTCAATGCCCAAACAATGCAATTCGTTATGGCATACCCAATGAAACTATAAATGACTATAAAAAACGAAACAATTTATGTATAAGCCTGGACAAAAAATGCCTGGCATGGGAGGCAGCATACCCAAAAGAGAACATCATTAAAAAACACAATACAGGAATGACAAGCCACCGTAAGCTACTAAATGCAAAGGAGCTTGGCTACCACTAATGCATATGTCAATGCAATTTGAACATCATTAATCATTGGCCGCGCAACGGAGAGAGAGAGAGAAAAGCAAACAGAAAAAAGAGGCCATTTAACAACAACAACACTAAAAACGATGTAGGCCAGGTAATGCAAACTCCCCGAAAAAACTTGTAAAGTCATTCACAAAATTACACTCGGACCAAAATATCTACC